AATTCTCTAATTTTGGTGAATATTTTGTCATTTTGGTAAAAAGTGATATTTTCGACTTCTTGTTGAAAACTGTAAGTCCGATTGCTTTGATATTACATATATAGGTACTACATGTGGACCTCTCTCAGATTTGTTCGTTTTGTGATGATGTCTTCAATTCTCTAATTAATTTATTTTGGTGAATATTTTTGTAATTTTTGGTAAAAAGTGATATTTTCGACTTCTTGTTAAAAACTGTAAGTCCGTTTGCTTTGATACTATTCATATTGTTCATTTTCTAATGATGTCTTCAGTTCTTTAATTGAAATGTGCATTGCTAACAGCGGAGCTATCTCAGCCGATAGGCTGCTTGTCTTTATTTAGCATATGTGCTTACATGAATTACAGACATATTTTAATGATGCAATATGCAGTTTTTGGTGAATGTACATTTTCAATAGAGCAAATATGGTACTAACTAATGTTGAACTAATTTCTAGTGTAAAAAAGAAACCAGTTGGTGGAGTTTCCATATTTGGAGGAGCTGACCTGTTTGGAGAATCTAAATCTGAATCCACAGATAAAGCAACTGTTAAAGAAAAGGAGCCAGAGATACCAACAACACAGGTCAGTACTTAGCCCATCGCACAGGTCAGTACTTAGCCCACCGCACAGGTCAGTACTTAGCCCACCGCACAGGTCAATACTTAGCCTACCGCACAGGTCAGAACTTAGCCCATCGCACAGGTCAGTACTTAGCCCATCGCACAGGTCAGTACTTAGCCCACCGCACAGGTCAGAACTTAGCCCATCGCACAGGTCAGTACTTAGCCCATCGCACAGGTCAGTACTTAGCCCATCGCACAGGTCAGTACTTAGCCAATTGCACAGGTCAGTATTTAGCCAACCACACATGTCAGTACTTAGCCCATTGCACAGGTCAGCACTTAGCCCATCGCATAGGTCAGTACTTAGCCAACCGCACAAGTCAGTACTTAGCCCACCGCACAGGTCAGTACTTAGCCCACCGCATATGTCAGTACTTAGCCAACCGCATAGGTCAGTACTTAGCCCACCGCACAGGTCAGTACTTAGCCCACTGCACAGGTCAGTACTTAGCCCACCGCATAGGTCAGTACTTAGCCAACCGCACAGGTCGGTACTTAGCCAACCGCATAGGTCAGTACTTAGCCCACCACAAAGGTCAGTACTTAGCCCACTGCACAGGTCGGTACTTAGCCC